GCCCCGGACCAGCACAAAGGCTGCACCGAACGGCAGGAATATATAGCCCAGGCTGGTTTGTGCCAGGCAAGTCAGCTCCCTTCATTGCTAATAAATAACTCCCCATGGTCTTGCATTTATAGGGATGAAGAAGGGAAGGGGAGGAAGCAGAGCACAAGTTGTTGGCCCCTTTGCCTGCTTGGTGCGTGGTTGCCGGAGCCTTGGAAAACACTTGCACATGCTAAATCTTGCTAAGGCTCAAAGAGCTAATTTTAGTCCTGCTGAGCTCCAGGCAGCCACATTCAAAGGGGTCTTTCCCCAAAAGACGAGGGGGTCTCACCCGAATCACCCGACGCTCAAAGCATCTGCAACAAAGAACGGGCTGGGAAAAGGGATTGCTGTTCACAGCCGGCGCAGCCCTTGCCAGATAAATCAGATGCTGCTGCTGCTGGGATGGGTTGTTTTGGCGCGCCGGGGCTTATTGTTCGAGCGCCAACAACTAAACATGCACGTGCATGTGGTATTTTTAACCTGCAGTTTAATTGCAAGGGGTTTCTCTGTAGTTTAAATGGAAATTGCTGTGCTTGATTAGCAAAATATATGTTGAGTTCATTATCGCCCCGTCAGGCACTTCCCCTGTGCAAACAAACTCCGGTGGATGCGAACTCCTTTTCTTCCCACTAGTGAGCAGTGGGAAAGTCCTTCTGATTATTTAGTAGAGTTATTTCCATCTCAGACCTCACCAACAAGGTAGCCAAGGGCTGTTCGGCCACCCAGCTCCACCATCTCCCCCTTAGTCCTCTGCTCTGCCGCAGCTGGGACCCACTGTGGTCCTAACCCCATCTGCACCAGGACCGGAGGGTTTTTTTGGGCTATTTCCCCAGCTCCTGAAGGGCTGAGTTTGAAATCCTGTTTCTCCTAGAAAGCATCTGGCTTGCGACACAGGTCAGAGCCTGACACGCAGCCCTACCCCTGCTCCTGTGAGCACACGTTAATCCAGCCCGTCAGGTACTGCTCTTCATTATAGCAGTGGGCAAAGAGCATCAAGCCATTCCATTATATGGAATATAAGCAACTTAAAGGAATTTTTATATTCTTCTAAACTTGGGAAAAGAGGCGAGGACTTAGCAGGTTTAGTTCCCCAGCCCACGTGGGCTTTTATCAGCCTTTATGAAGTATCAGCATCGAGTTTTGGGAGGAGGGGAAGTCAAGGGAAGAGACCCCGCATGGCTGCGTGCTGCAGGTACAGCCGCCTCCCGGGCTCCCACGGAGGAGAAAAAGCGTTTCCTTAGAGCTGAAATAAAGTCAGACGTGACCGCCGAGGTCCTGGAGATGGGCACGTGCAACACAGGTTTGGATCCAACGTAACAAAGCCGTGACCCAACCGGCAGTGCCTCTCGGTGCTTTTGGCTGGAGCCTTTGCCCGACGACCGCTCACGCAGCCCCCCCGAGGAGAGGGCCGTTAGGGAGGGAAGCCCCATTTCAACCAGCTAACTCAGGGCAGTTGTTTTTGGCAATAAAAATGCAAAACAGGCAGTGCCTTCGCTCTCTATGACAGCAGGAACCTGGCTTAGGACATAACCTAAGACTTGGGTCCAGCCAGAACTTCTCCTCCTCACCTCCATCTTACGCTTCGGAAACCACTTGCTCTTTGCTGACAGACCCTCCCTGTTGGTGGCTTTTGCGTGTCCTTAAGGGTGACAGGTTCTGAAGAAGTTCATGACAGGAAGCATTATTTCATCGCTTCATCCATTCCTCCCTCCTGCATCCTAGCCCTGAGGAACAGCACCAGCAATCCGGAGCAGGTTACCCAACACTGACACCCCCTCATCGATGGTTTTTGCATCAAAACTATTTTGGGGCAAAGCTTCTAGGAAGAGGTGCAGGTCCGGGGTGAGGCCAAAGCTTCTCCTTTCTTACAGTCTCAAGACCACAGAACACTGCTGTCATCCAACCAATGCAGTTTTACTCTAACAAGCGTATAAAGCCTCAAAATCTTAACTAACAGGTTTGAGTATTCCAAAATTCTACTTTTCACCTGCACAGAAGAATTCTTCTTGTATAGTAGGTTTTTCTGTATATTGTTTCTGTATGTACTGTACAAGTAACTTATTCTTGAATAATGCAATTTTACCATAATATAAAAAAATCTGCTCTTAATAAACTGTTTTTAGAACTCGTTTCTCACTTTTAGTCTTTAGTCCGATTCTCTCTAGGTGCCTGGATACTATTTTAACAGATACTTTAAGGCTGCTAAAAGACAGAAACTCCCCCTTAGGAATGAAAAGAAAGCCGATAGCCTATGTGACAAGCTGTTCCTTCTCAGAAGACTCATTCAAGGAGTCCTGCCCCAAGTCACCATCACCGTCTGCGACGGTCTCATGCCCCCTGCTGCCCACCTGAACATGAACTCATTACATTTTACTGCACTGCTGACCTGGAAGGATTAAGACAGGAGCTGCAGCAGTATTTGTATTCCCCTGTACGTTTTTCACCAAGCCACGATGGGATGTAACAGCTGTCCATGAAAGGTTGTACATACAACAGCTTGTCCTGCCTCTGAAGAGCAACCACAGTATAATCCAGTTTAACCAGCATCATCTTTTGGTTAGCCATCATTTTGCTAAGGAATGCTTACCCCGATTTCTTCCTTTCCTTCTCCAGCAGCACCATGTCGTGTATAGTTTTATCATGTTAAGCCTCAAGGCCCAGTTGTGACATCTTCTGTGACACCAGCCAGAACAGTGCAAGGCTGAGGCATTAGGGAATAGAATTAAAACCTGTACCGAACTTCGGATCTTGAAACGTTTGACTTAGTATTGCAATGGCCCTGCAAGTCAAATACGACCGATTTGGTTTCATGGCGGGGGGACACACACACGATACGGCAGCAGCACACGACAGAAACACAGGGCAAAGCTTACCTGACGCTAAATAAAACATTCACTCCACTGTGGATTGAAAGCTGGAGAACACATGAAAGTAAGATTTTGGTAAAACAAGACACAAATACTAAGTAGGTCAGTTTTTAAAACTTTTTTTATTTTTTAATTTTTTTTTAAGTTTTTATTTTATATTATCTACAAAGTAAAAGTTTTCTTAACTTAAAAGTTACATCACTGTCTCACGATAGTGATTATCTCATCAAACGTGATTTATAAATAATAATTCATCAGTTTGACGATTAGAATTTTTTTTTTTTTACTGAACCTGTTTCAAGTTTAGTTAGAAGTAAAAGGGATCTCCAAGTCTTGATTTTTAGTGATAATAGCAGCAAGAATCACTCTTGTTACTTCTTTTGCTAGCTGATGAGTTCATAACTTTGAAGGGTCATTAAAAAATAAATAACTTCCAGTTTTCAGCAAGCAGAGTTGGGGCACTTGCAGGACTCTGATACAGTGCATGGAATTATGGAATAGCCCACAAGTTCCTAAATGCCTCTACTCAGTCCGAATCTCTCCCACTGCAAGATGAACTGTTAGCATTCCTAGTGGATGTTACAAGAAATCAATTTTTTTTTTTTTAAACAAAATAAAATGAAATTCTAGTTTTCTGTGCTTCCAGTTGGCAGAAGCAGTAGAAGGAGGGTATTTGGCCTACAAAAGGTATCCAGCCTTTCAGTTATTCCAGATGAGCCTTACAACTGCTGTTGGTGGTGGGCTTGTACTGTAAAAAAAAAGTTCAAATGTAAATAATAAATTGGCAAGCCACACAACAGTTTGCTAGTAAAGTGGTCACAGGACAACTACTGAGCTGAACTTTTTCTTTTTTTCTTTTTTTTTTTTTTTTTCCTTTTTCTCTTTTTTTTTTTTTTTAAATGAACAAAACAAAACCCTGCATATCAAGATGTCCTTTGGATGTTTTTTTCCCTACCTAAACCCTCAGAAAGAAGCCTTGTTCTGCTCTCACATTCCCCAAGAAACAAAATCAGGTAACTAGTTCACTACAGAAGTTTAGAGGCTGTTTGGAAATGAATAATAAAGAAACCTAGGTAAGGTTAAATTTAAAGCGGAAAGTAGTCATACAGCACCTACTTTTGCCAAAAAGTAAAGCTGCAGAATGTTACTCTGAATTAAAGATTAGACTTCAATTGTCACTTTACTTCAGTTATTAGAAGTCTTACAGCCCTACCCCCAAGCAACATATTCACTCCTATCCTCAAGACCGATCACTTTAAATTTAATAAGACCCCAGATCATTATAAACAGGCTACACAGACAGTCCATCCCCCACGGCAAAACCACAGCAAAACCTGGAAGAACAGTCCCACAGTGCCAGTGTCTGCATAGTTATCCATTTCTCTACTTCAGCTCGAGAGAAGCAAAGTCTTTCCTAAATTAGCTAAATCTCGTACACTTATCTAGGCTAGCATTTGGGCTGGCAAAGTGTAAATGCTAAATGCAGAAACAGTCTGCCTTCAGCAGCCTGCCACTCCACAAGGACATCTTAAGGTTTTTTTTTTTTTGTTCTTTTCCCCAAATCTGGTTCATAACAGTTCTCCTCGCTACTACGACCTGGCTCAGTTAAGGTGCAGGTCTCCCGGGCACACACTCCTCACCTGAAGGGTGCGTCATATAGGGGAAATGTGTTGTTGTCGAGACTGGAATGGGCTGTAGTGCACTTTGAGCGATGGCGGCTTGGGGACCACCAGGTGGCTGTGTCGTCATTAGCATCATTGGAGCATGGGCAGTTGGGTGAGAAGGAACCATTCCTGACTGTACATGAGCCTGAAACAAAGAGCTCTTTAGTATAATGGTCACAAGGAGGCATCACTCCTGGCCACATGACTATCAAGTTTTCTCCAGCTGTACCAGTAAATCCAGAGATTTACTCCATTTTAACTAGATTAGCTATAGGGATTAAGTCAGAGATCTTAACACAAAAATAATAACTTAAAAAAAAAAAAAAAAAAAAAGGGGGCTCAAATCCTTACTGCTGGCTCTGAGTCACATTCTCAATTTTAGCCATTTGGACAGTGAGCGCTGGGAGAAACTGCCAGCATTAAACAGTGGGATATTTAAAAAAAAAAAAACAAAAACCTCAGCAACAAATCTTCAGAACATTACTGTTAGTAACCTAGATCAAAGCACTTCCTATGCAGAGAATGCACCGGGTACAGATACGAACTTCACACGCACTGGGAGCCTGGCATCCCTTCCTCAGCTGCTCATTACACAACTCCACGTTATTTCATGGCTCCCTGCCCTAGTAACCACTCTCTCCAGTGACCTGTGCCCACATTAACGTTCATCTAAGCAGTCATTCTAAGATGAGTGATTTCATCCCTTTATACTGTTAGGTCAGCTTTGTTCTGTTTCCAGTTAAGCTCATCACAGTTAAGGTTCTTGTGTAATCTAAGCGATCATAGTTAAGTCTCAGCAGAAAAAGAAGATTAATCTTTACTATGGCTGATCACCTTCTGGCAAACAAGTTCAGCAACTTGTCAGTTGGCTTCTTTAGCTCAGAGCAGTTCATGACTCTAGAGGTCATCAATTTTTTGGTTTAAAAATCTAGTAAACACTAGTTTCTTAAAAGCACAAAACATTAAGGAACTCTTAGAGCTCTCAGCGGGTTTCTCTTAGGGGGAAAAACAAAAAAAGCATTTGTATCTAAGGTTTATTTTGTCCTTCTACCATATCCCATTAACAGAGCACTACGGTGCAATAATCGCAGCCTCACAAGTTTCACATGCCAGTAAAGACAGATAGCAGGTAGTGGCTACAATTTTATTTCTTGAAGACAAAAGGGTTACTTGACTCATCACAGACATTCCTCAAACTCTTTATCAGACTTGCACTGTATTAGTAGCACTCAAGAAGCCTTTAAAGGCAGGAACTGCAATTCAAATCTCACTCTTGCTCTAAAAAAGGCTTAGAAGATAAGGCTGTGAAACAGAAATACCTTTTAGGATCAGCACCATTTTTACTCTGACAAACATGCTATTATAGCAGCCATCATTATAAAGCAGCTATTCATATAGCAGCTGTATTCAATACACACACTGGATAAAAATCTTCTGCTGTGGGGCTCAAACGCTTTGCAAATTGGCAGCTGACAGTACTCTGTAATGAATTTTAAAGTGGTGTTTCTCAAGTGAGATATCTAACAGCTCAAGATTCATCTGATAACCTAAAGGGAAATTCAATTGATCCCCTGTGTTAGCCTAACTGAAATTCCTACTACACGGTATTTCAGAATTGTGTTCAGAAGTTGGAAATGAGGCTGCTAAGAAACTATTAGATCCAGTGATTAGTTTCCCCACAATGGAATAATTACATGCATTTAAAATTTCTTACAGAACTGTAGTTATTCCTTCATCAGAGACTTTTGAGGGAACTACTTCATTTTGAAAAGTCAGTTTGGTGTAAATATTATGGATTATAGATTGTAGTTTTAATCCTAAAAAAATTACAGCAGAAGAGACTGCGCAGGTCAAAAATCAAGGGTAAGGCAGGCTTTGCCTGTGATTGCTAAAAAATCCTGACTGAGCAGTCAGTTCTGACTAAAAGTTGCATCTGATTTGCTTTAGCGAGGTTTGCTTATTAAGTGCTTGGCACACAGAAAGAAAGGCAATGGTCGCATCCTATAGCACAGGCATGGGCCTGGCCATGACGTGTACAGCACAATTCATGGACAGTTTTATTTTTAAGCTGATCTTGAAACAAACATGTTTCATGTTTCAAGGCACAGCACTGAACATGCCACTAACCCAGGCGCTTGCAGCAAGACCCTTCCGTAGGGTTGCATGCAAGGCACCTCAAGAAGCTCTACAATCTAGGCATTCACACCAGTGCCATCACACCAGAGCGGACCACACCAGATCTTGTTTCTGGCAGAAACCAGAGCCTGGGAGGACACAGCAAGATGCTGCAGCAGTAGTCAAGTTTGGACATCCTCTCCTTATCCTCCCACAGTACAAAAGCAGAGAAATTAAAAGCCTAACGGAATTAAAAAGCTAAAAACTCAACATCAGTAAAACAATTCCTAAGTAACTATTAATTCATTGGCTTAACCGACTGTCCCAGGGACCAAAGCAAAGATTTTATCAGAATTCTGCAAGGGACTGGACACCTATTAGACTAACCTCCCTAATTGTCAGTCATGATATCCAAAACTATTGTTAACCTGTATGAGAAAGCGTAAGCCAGACACCAAGTTCTTGGTCTGCAGAAGAAATTGTGCAGTCAAATTACTGATTATTTGTCCGTTCCTTGACAAAGCACACTAAATCCATGAGATTCAGTAAACATCAGAAAATCTTTGTAATGCTGCTTTACGCAGAGCTCTTGACTAATCAATCATGTGCTTCCCTTCCCAAAATCCTTTTTTCAGTGAGTTGACCACAAGAGAGCAGTTAAAAGAAGTGGGTTTCTGATCCTGAACCAAGGACTGTTGTTAAGTTGCCCAACAATCAGGGATCTCCTGCATAAGCAGTTCATTTAGAACGACACACAGACACATACACACACACACACATGAAGTTTTCTTTCAGCAAGGATTGTCTTGCAGTCATCTGAATTGAATCTCACCTATCTCCCATTGCAGTGCCTTGCTACTCCCTAGTAATCCTGTGTAATATCCTTTATTGGATGCACTTGTATAAATTTGACTACATGCAGAACCTAAAACTGCCACCAAAAGCAGCAATTCAGCCTTCCTCCACTCAGCTCTCACCTCCAACCTTTCTGTATGCCAGCTCTTCCTGTGATCATGCAGTGAACCTGAGTAGCGAACTGATTTGACTGAGAAATAGCCTAAAATGGGGGTAGGGGAGGCACACTTCAGCTGAATCATGTCCCCAGTCTGGTTTGCTGCATGGCCAAACAGTTCTGTGAGCAGAATGGTGGGGCAGGACAAGGATGGGAGCCGGGAACTGGGAAGAGAGCTCAATTTCTTTCAGTAGCAGTGCCACCTTAAGATGTCTTCATTAAACTACAGTTGTAGATGCACTGGGTGTTGGAAGCTGAGGTCCAAATATCTTGTAAAATTCTAAATAAAGGCAATGTACAGACAGAAACCTAAATAACACAACAGGTAGTCTGTGCTGAGAGGTGACAGAATGGAAATCACTTCAGCAGGCCCAACTGTCCTAACTTTGTGGCATTAAGACATTTAGTCTTGAAGGTTGTTAAACTGTGTTTACCTGGGGGACATGGGCCATGTGTGGCGGATTGGTATATGCAGGTTGAACATGGGAGGGATGAATGGTGAAGACTGTTTGTTGTGCTGTAGGAAAACTATTTTGTGGAGACTGCGTATTGGAGCCTGGCGTCATGGAAGGTGGGGTTGGAGCTAGACCTGCGTGGTAAATTGCCGACTGCTGTTGTGGGTTTGCCAGGTGGAGTGCCTGAGCAGCCTGGTGCTGATGATGCTGCAAAAAAAGATAAAAGATCATTTAGGTTACGGTCTAGAAGCGAGACACGTTTATTCTGTAAACTAGCGTAAGAAAGGTTTGCAAAACTGCTCTCAATAATGAACCTTTTATGTGGCAAATCTAAGGATTACCACACCTGTGGTCATGAGGAAACTCATTTCAATTCCACCAGGCTCATTTTCTCCTTGCATTAGAAAGTCATGTGAGCAGGAGCCTGGAAAATGGAACCTAGACTGACAGGTGAAAACAAGGAGACCCTGCAACTGCGGGGCTGGATATACTTCACAGTTGCACTTAGCAGCCCAAAGTTATTACCAGTAGGTAATTAAGGCATGCAGCACTATCACGAGGCCTATTTTGTTTTCAGCTGCTTGTCTTTGATGAAATACAATCAAATGCTTCTCAGCATTTATCTGCTATTTCCAGTTGTAACTCCACTCATATTAAAGCTCTGACAAAATTATCATCCTTCCTTAATCGTAACATGGAAACAAGCTATACCTCGTCCCCTGTGAAGAGGGAGAAATGAATGGTTGGACTCTGACATTGGTTCTTACTAAGGAAAAGGGACTGCCCCAAGTTTCCCTCTAGCTTATCTAACAAACTATGTCACGAGCCTACCACCTTTGAGTTCTAGCCACCGCAAGCAGAGCAAAATTAAGTTATATAGCTCTACTTCGTTCCTTCCAGAAAACAGAGGGCTGCCACATGCAGTTCGCTTGGGCAACCGCTCCATCTTACCATTCTTCCTCTCAAAGAAATCAATATATCGATGTCAAGCATCAGACTGATGCGATACCTTCCAGCAGAGCATGTTAAATACAATCTAAAGACATTCACTCCCTTGAGTTCTGTTACCTGCACGGGGCTAGGAGCAGGGTGGCTTCCAGCATGTTGGCTTTGCTGCTGGCCAGTTGGTGTGGCAGAAGGCTGAGGATGTGGAGGATGCGGATGCAGGGTAGCATTAGGGTGGGCATACTGCTGAGCAAGTGAGCCAGTGGAAACTAGGATGAAAAAGAATAATATTTAACAACAGATACAGAACATGCATCTCATCAAGTCACCATGTGCACTCGAAGATTTTGCTATATCTCAAACATACTGTAAATATATTCCCTCCCCCTTCTAAAAAAAAAATATTTATCTTGCAAATAGCTGAGTATCTTACCTTGCTTTTGTGTAGTTTGGTTTTGCAGGAAAGTCTATAAATAACCATAATTAGACAGTTCATCTTCCCTAGTTTGACAATGTTACAGATACTACATAGAAAAAAGCAGTACTTCATCTTTTGTTTTGTCAAACAGACCAGTTTAAAATATCAAATTTATAATTTTCATACAATTTAGTTTTTCCTGAAATATACTTTTCAAAGGTGTTACAAGCCATTTTTATTTCCACCATCCAAAAAATTCTTTGGCCTTATACCTGGCTAACCTCACCATGCTACTCTTCTGGAAATTGCTCACAGTACAGTCAGTGTAAAGTATATACATTGCATGTATGCTTAAGAGCTAAAGGGACACACAGTATATACGTAACAGCTGAGAAAACTGAGGCTGCTTGAACATCAAATTTTTGCTGAAGCCAGTATCTTGTACTAAAATAACGAATCTTTCTTTCCTCTCCTCTCAAGGGAGTGTTTTCTGGATCACCACCATTCTGTGAGCTTCTCAATATTGCTATGAAATTCTTAATTCCTTGAAACAGTAGCAAATAAGGTAAAAATTCCAAAAAAGGAAAAAACTTAACAACATAAAACTTTCACACCAGTGAAACCACATCTGTTGCTACAGCCATACCAGTCTCCAACAACAAACTAATATCAACAAGTCTCTCCTTGAGTCCTGCCCTGTGCTGCTTCAAAACGGGCCACACAAAATCATTTTTGTTTTGGTTTGGTTTTTTTGGTGGTTTTTTTTTTTTTTTTTAGTTCTGAGGGAATCTAAGAAAGTATGAAAAGCGATAGCAAGTCTTCCTTTAAACACAAAGCATGCAACCAGAAAGCAAGACCCTAAGAAAATGAAGATGCTTTGCCTATTCCCCTTTATTGCTTTTAGAACTTGTGCAACAACCAGTCCACAGTTTGCAACTACACTTCTGCACGTGACAATGCGCACTACTCTCTCCAATATTACAGCTTGTCAAGACTGAGGCTAGTTTTGCTGACAATAGTGCTAGAAGACAAACAGTCAAAGCAAACTATCAACCTGCTCCTGAATCTGTTCCCTGCAAATGTTCCTTATTCGTTCTGGTACCTTTTTGTCTTTCTGACAAGTTAATTACTGCTTGCTATCTATCAGGTTACAGCTTTTTTTAATGGGGTTTGTATTACATGAGAACTTGATGGCCAATGAAGTGCCTGTCTGCAGCATACCTTTAGAAGTGATGGGTTTTCTGGTGGCGTTTTCTTGCCCTAGTAAACAAACCTGAAAAGCAGGGCACAGGGAGAAACCTGGAGTGCAACCATTATGCTGCAACCACCTGCCCTGTGTAGGCACGGCCAGTGAGGTGTGTTACCTCTCTTCTGCAAGTAACTGTTTGCTGCAGCTTATGCAGAGTTTCACCGTGCTGGGCTCTAAGTACATGAATATACAGAACTGCCTGAGTGTATATAAAGGATGAAAGACAAGATGGGTGGAGAAAACGGACAAAAATGTAGCTGCATCTGAAAGCACAATACTATTCAGCAAAAGCAAGTCTCAAAAGGACAGCAGCCCCACTGTATTCTATTAACCAGCCCTAACACACTACTACCCTGTGCAAGTACTTGTTTTCCTCCAGTTTGGTTTGCTATAAAGCTTACAAATACTAGTTCTAAAATACTCAAACTCACTAGAATACATATAGAGAGTATCTTTTTTTGGCTAATTGAGATTTGAGACTCTTCTCCCCTGTACAGGCCACTATGAAGGTCTCTCCTTTATAAAATAACTGCCTACCACACTTAACTTAATCCCTCCCTGCTGTCTTGAAAGCTCTATTGAATCTTCATTGAGCAAATGGTCCAACAGTGATGTGCACTACAGTTTCAGGCTATTAATGCAGATGAACTTCATACACATTTGTATCCCTACATTCTTGCAATTTAAGTTGATCCTAACATACTTATGCATAAGCATGTAAATGTACTTAGGCCTGAGTGTACAAGCATACTGATACACTATGAGCATTTCTGATTGAGAGGGGTTTTGAAAACACCTCGGTATTTTCTATGCACACCGGCAAAACTACCAGTATCTTCTGCCATAGCAGAAGATTTGTTACTCTTTCAAATGCAAGAAAAGTCTTTTTTTTCATATCACTACCAAAATTTATTTTGCAGCAGCATCTCAACAATGCTTCTATTTGATTTTCAACCACCGCTCCTTCTTACAAGGACTACATGAAAATCATCAATGGAAAGACCCATCATTTTTACAGTATGAAGTTTACGGTTTCCTACAGTAGGAAAATTTCTCAACCTCATTATTATACAACACTCTGAAGAGGGCCAGAAGTTATTATCTCTGTCAAAGTAATAGAAATAAATGCATAGAGGGATTGACTTGTTTGCCAAAGGGCATGCTACCAGAAATCTTCCTCAGCTCTCATCCCACTGCCTCAGCTGCAGAGCTGGCACACCTGACTACAAATTAACTTCAACTCCATTCAAAAGAGGTTTTAAAATGTATATGAAAATTAATTCCAAGTTGTAAGATATTCAAGGCTTCCCACATCCTGCCACATTACTTAAGAGCCCCCGAAATAATGTGGTACTCCCTTAAACCATCTGTGCAATTCATCTTTCATTTCTTTATAGCCGAGAGAATAATAAACTAAGTTATTCTGAAGCAGATACATTATACAATAAAACTTCACAATGAAGAGTTTCTCTCTTAAGAAACCAATTAAACCGAGGAATAGTACCCTAAAGAACAGATACAGAAGCAGGGGGGAGGATCAAGTTCTTGTCATAGTAGCAAGATCTCTCATAGCTTTCTAATATCTTTTATCCATAGCTTTGCATTTAAAGCACCAGATTTTTTTATATTGAAGAATTTTTATTTGCCTAGCTTCTCTCCCATTTTGTCTTTAACAAATTACTCTAATAAGCTCTACAAGTTTGGTTAAAACTAGTTCAGATGCTGCTGCAAATTATGTTTTAATAGTAGTATTAAAAGTGTCTTTCAAAAAACGTTATGGGGACACTTATCTAAATTCTGTACAGATACTGCATACAAATCAAGAATGGTTCAGGACAAGTGGCAGCAAGTCTGAAACACGTGCACAGATCTTTGTTAGTTCAAACCCAGGGTTCAAACTTCAACTCTAGAAACGTTTTCCATGTTTAGCTAGTGCAATTAATAGTTCCTGACAAATCAATGAAATCTATGAGACCAGCAAGCCTGTGAAAGAAGTCTCGCAAAAGAGTCATGAGAAATTCACCTGCTTAGCCATAACTAAAGCACCTTCACTGTGACGTTTTTCAAGAATTTTTGCCTGTTCATCAAAGAAGCTCACTACACATATCAAATAGCAAACAAGATAAGGCAGGAGGTGGGGAAAAAAAAAATATCGCCAATTATCCAACATTTTCCCCCATTGTCAGTACTTTGGAGATCTTCCAAATGGCCACCTAGTATCCAAGAAAGTGTTGAGAAAGCTCTAGGAAAGGACAAAACAGCTCTGTGTATCTCCTTGCTGCAAGAAACCTCAGCTCATTCCAGCAGAAATACATTGTTTTTCTCACCCTTTATGCCTTATGTTCCCCTCCCCAAGAAATACTGCCTGGGCTAACCTGCTTCACTTCAGCATCTTTTTCATCATGTTGTTTCCTAACATGTAATATTTAACTGCACTAACCTTGCAGGGATACAGAGTGAAGATAAGTAATTCAGTAATGAAGTGAGCAAAAATATCAGATGGATTAAATTACTGAATTCAACTCTACAAAAGTGCAACCTATTTTTCTGAGAGGTAAACAAGTAGTAGTCAGCCACCAAACCCACAGAAGGAGCTGAAATCAAAAGAGGTCAGAGCAGCAGATATCAAGCAGAACTCCCAGCTACAAGGGTATATGCAAAAACCATATAATGTAATTTCATATTTTCCCTGGTAGGAATTTCAATGCTGCCAATGGTGGTCATCGTTGGTCATCGTCCAAAGATGCACTGAAGAGCCTATTTTCAAGAACTGACCAGTGAACAAACTTCAAAACTATTGCCAGACCCAGTAAGATGGTGAGGATAACTACATTTAAAAGACCTGAATGGTAGGAAGCAAAGAAATAGCAAATGTTTCTTTCATAATACAAACATTTAAAGAAGTCATTTTACACAGGTAGAGCGGACTTCACTTAAAAGATTATCCACGAAAGGAACGAGCTTATTCAAGTTATTTCAGTGCACCAAACCAAGACGCATGAAAACAGGACAGGTCAGCATCCTACAACACTAGTTCACACAGAACCATTTCTGTACAAGAAACACAGGAAGTCTGTTCCAGAAGAGATTTTTTGGAGAACAAGTGGTATTTCTCACATCCTTCTTGCATGAGCTAACTCAAAAAACCCCAGAACAGTGCCTGGCATAGGCTGCATGGACTTGCAGACAGACACAGCAACAAGTCTCACTGCAGGACAGGAGCATGCTCGAAAATACCCTAAAACTGCAGCCCTCCTTTCCCATGTCTTGGCTGACAACTACAGTTCATCCTGCAACCACCCCACTTCCCCCAAAAAACAGCTTTGTTATCCACCTTTCCCTGTACATGCACGCAACTGAAGTCTGTATTAGCTGTTGTGTACTGAGAGTATGGAGAACACCAGCCCCTCTCCCATCGCCTACACCAATGTAGGTCACCAGCTCAGGCAACACGACACAGGAGCACCGGAGCCAGGCAACGTAACTGATAACGTTCACCTGCCAAGGAGGAAGCATCCGATGCTACACACCGGCAAGGAGCCCTCATCTAGTCACTCTCTTCAGGACGACAACTGCGTTCCTTCAGTGGCACTGAAGTAACTCTACAGAAAGTTTCCTTCACCTCAGCTGCAACTCAAGTTATTTCCTCCCAGGGGCTCAGAACTTGAGCCACAGCTTTTTAAAGAGATGAGGCACAAGCTACTTCTCCTTTTGGGAAGCAGATTAACTTGCCAAGTTTTAAAATCCCATTTGGGCCATGAAAGAAAGGGCAGTTCACCTAGGTTTTAAGCAGAGGCTATCCACATGCAGCGCTCACTTCTGGTTGCAGATGAAACAACTGGGTAGTGAAGTTAGAGATTATTCGGCATGCAAAATACATTTTAAAAGACTGACAAATCAGCTTCCTGTGGTCATATATATCTGTTCAACAGCTTCATTGCCCTGTCCATGGAAAGGAACCTTCCTGCGTTTTCCACATACTGGTTTGGTGCAAGGAAACTTGTTCCCTCAACACGTCCCATTCCTTTAACATGTGTTCTTTAGAAAGTGCTTTTCTGTACAATCAAAATTAGTACAAAAAACCCAACTCACTGGCAAAGTAGAAAGAAGGGCCTGTCTCCTTGCTGTATGGTATTTTGGGACATGCTGAATTTGGGAAATAGAAAGGTGAATTAGCCTCTTGCCACGTGCATACTTCCCGTCTTCTGGAAAGGTCAGCATCTTTTTTTTTTTTTTTTTTTTTAAAGATTGTAGAACCATGCAGATATTTTTATTTACTTAGATGCTATTAGAGCTGGATATTTAGTTTTACAAATGAGTGGAGATGAAACAACACAAGTCTCAGGTAAGCCTTCCTTCTAAACTGTGACACTGAGGTCTTTAGTTCTTAATTAACACAAAAACAAACTTTATGTCAATCAATGGTCTATTACAGTCCACTGTAATAAGAAGGTTAAAACAAAATTACATTAAAACAGAAATTGGCCCCTTGCTTTTTCAGCTATATCACTGTCATTCTTAACAGTTCCAAGACACCTTTGGTGACTGGTTCACTCTTAGTCCCTGGAGAATCCTCTGAAGTTTATATTATATCCACCATTGTACTATCAGGGTAATAGAATTTACTCTACTGCTGAGACAGAAACCAGATAAAGTTAGAGACAACACCAGACCAGTAAAACATATGCAGAAGGGAAAAAGGGAAGGGAGAATGGGAATGAGAGCACAAAACCCAGGAAATGCATCTGTATAAAACCAAGGTCTGGTTTTACACAAGTTTGTTTTTAAATACAAAAGTAAAGTTTTTCAGAGGACTCCAGTTATCTGAAAACACAGGCAATTCAGCTACATGGTAAAACTAACACAAGTTCATTGTCACAGGAATGAATATATCTACTTAGATAACCAAATTTTCTACTAACAGCACAAGACAAGTTTGGGTCTTTGTGCGACATAGACCAAGCACTCAAACTGCAAACAGTGGCCAGCAAACTCTACCAGCCCAATGATATCGGTAGCAGAGAGATCACACAGAGCCAACGCTTCCGAGACAGATGGTGTGTTCTGAAACCAACGGTCAGCAGGGTAAGAGCGACAACTCCGCGTTCAGGTATGCGCGTGTGGCAGTTAAAGGTGCGTGTACTGCTGTGCTGCAGCAGTGCCTGCGTTTCAAACTCTCCTTGATAAGGACATCTAAGTGGCTCACATCTCCAGAAGTTACGAGCTGAAGTGTGTAACAGACGTTTTTATCGTCTGGCTGCTAGACGGGAAGACAGACAGTTGCTTGAACATTGTCCATCCCAGTTGTGTTTTGAGGGGAAAAAACCAATGATTTAAACACTCCTCCGTCACATGTTTAGATGGGTCTACTGGTGACCACGCAGCTCAGCTGCTCTGCTTCTCTTGAGCTCTTGTCAACAGCGGGTTGTGAAACAGGACACTGTAACGACTGGCAAGGAAATCCCAGAAGTGCAGAAATATCCCATTAAACAGCATTAGACAAAAATACTTTTCTTTAAAATGGAAGAGTGCTTATCAACAAGTGTAGGTCACTGTATGTATTTTGGATTCAGCTATCTCTTCATGAGACAGGAAGGAAAACAAAAACCAAACTTTCGGCAGTGAGGGTAGTTCACTTAATGGATCAACAGGCATTTCTCTTCACTGGCAGGCAGTTACTACTTGCCACAGACTTTCAACTTGTCCCAAACCATTAGTGAAGATGGAGTTTCAGATCTCACCAGAAAACATTTCACACCTTAAGAATACTTCATAAGCAGTGCCCCCCAACCCCCACGTCTCAGCGCGGTTGTCCTTGCAGACATCTTCTCTCTACCACATAGGCAGGAAAAAACCTGAGTGAATTTTGCAAGAATTATCTCAAAGAAAGCTCTAGTACCTTGAAGGATAAAAGGGCAGTATAGCCCACTGAATCCTGGTATCAATGGGGGAAAAAAAAAGTTTAAAAATAAATAATAATTTTTGGGGTTTTTTTAAATCAAATAGCAATTTTAAAGAGCCAAAAGGAAATCTGAGAACTTGTTTGAGCAAGTGCTCCAGAAATCAAAAGCAGCAGTGGTTGTTGTTTCACAGGACGTCGTTGTTCTGTACTTTCAAATTAGTTTTAAGACAGGACCAGAATCAAAGTGCATTGGTATATTTAGTTCAAAGATACTGTGGGTAAACTTTAAGATTCCCAAAATACAGAACATAAGTTACGGATACTTTCTTATAGTCACTCAATTAGACGTGAATGATTCCAGCACGTTGTTCTTTAGCAATGTACTCCGTAAGCATCTTATATTTATCACCTTAAGCATTTCTACATTTTTCCCAAGCGTTCCCGTATCGATAAATGGAAGCTGAAGTCAATACGTTACAGATGGACACATTCTGAGGAAACACAATCCGTCTAGGCAAGGTCTTCAAGTACTCAGCACATGGAAGACTTGCAAAAATCTGAATTGAGACAGTGCTGCACTACATCAGAAGTCATTTCATGTGTAGCTAACCGTAAACTTTGTAAGTTAAGGGTACATTTGAGCCAATTCATGTTCACTAAGCAATAAACACGTCTGCACATGGCAAGAACATACTCTTACAAAAAGTGTCTCATATGGAATTCATGACCAGCTGGGTTGAATGGTTTCAATAACAAGAATTTCAAGCACTTGATCATTTACTGGGAAGGCGGGAGAATATTTAGAAGGGTCACCAAGTACCTACTTGAAAGAACACAGGAGGACATGCAATTTCTGTTAAATTAGGTGTTCTTGGAAAAGTAGTATTTAATTACATGGCAGGAAATACCAAAGAATTCTCAAGTTTGACCCAACTTGTTGTTTGCACTGGTAGGTAGTCACATACCTACAACAGACAAGCTGCAAAACCAACACAAAATGAGATCTAACAGCTGTAAGGTAGAGTACCAGTGAAAAAACTATACAGACATCTGATCAAAGCCAAACAAGGGAATGGGCTTGTACTTCAATGCTGTAGAACCCACAGGTTACAGAAGATAAGGATGGTGCACAATGGGAAATTGCTAGGAAGTCACATGCAACCATTTTGAATCAAATCTCAGATTATCTCACGTTTGGTTTTATTTTAGTTAGGATTTGAGAGGAGAGTTTTCACCAATAAAGGTCTGAAAGCCTTTGATCATTCACTTTATCGGAATTCTATTTAATCTAATGAAAAAGCAAACAGAAGATCTGTTTACATGGTCACCTCAAGCACAAGAGTTGAAAAGATCAAAGCAATACAATTAGCAAGGACCTGTGAGAGAAAGACTTAATCTCTACAAGCAACTTCTATTTTAGCTTCAGCACAAATGAGCTGAAATGTTCTTCCTCCAAGTGTCAAAAAAGGTTTCTCTGTTATTTTTGTTTCTTAGCTACGTTACCATACCACTGCAGAGATCTGAAAGGATGTTTTCAGATGGGTAAGACACAGACTTTTTAAAATCAGTATAGATTTCACACTAAACTTCAGATTCTTAGTCTTGTAAGCTTTCATGACACATCATGGACTTCCATTAAGCAGCAGTGTAAAACTAAGCACCGGAAAACATACAAAGATGTCTAAAGGTAGAGAAAATCTTTTATTAGAATCTAAGTCAATAATATAAGTGACCCAATAAAAGTCTTCCTCAGATGCTATAACAAGTATTGAAATGCCACGTTTTCAAGAGACCATCTGCTGTTTTGACATTTTATGACAATTTCCAAGCCTTCTAGCAACCTTGATTCTACCTCTTTCAATAGCATGTTTTGCAGTGAGGTTTTTCCTCTGAATTGGGCATTGATTTATCATACATTTATAACGCTTTAGAAGTTCTTTCACATTTTACTTTGTAACAAGGTAAACCACATTTTCAGCACTTCACTGTTAAGTGAAATACGCCCATCTGATAATGCTGGAGACTAATTGTCAAAGTCAGAGCAATACATGAGCTGTTTCATATACTTATTCTTGACTTACCAAAAAAGAAAGGTAAGCAACACATGTTTTATTTTGCTTAAACAGCAGTGTTCATACTGTTAATAATGCTAGTAGTATCATAAAGACAGCATTTCACTAGTTGTCAGAACTAAAGTCAAGTTTTGAAACTGAGGTCATAGCCTTGCAATAAAACAAGTCCTAATTATTATCAAGAAACAATCAAGGGATGTTGTGTCAAGAGCATCAAGAAAACTTGAACAAACTTCTTTCAGCAGATATTCTTTAGCAGCTCCCAGGTTGAAATTTCATCTTGGTCACTGGCATCCTACTGAAATCAGCATACTTGAGTTTTCATTTTAACCAGGTGGCTCAGTTTTCAATGCTCTGCTCATCATCTTATGAAATATAAACCACATCTACTGGTGTAATCTGAATGATACCCATGTTTGAAGCTTGAGATTAAATACATCCCTGCACAACATAAGAACTTAAAAAGTTACATATAACACAAAACGTTTCCTACCATACATAGCATGCGTCTGTTCATGCGCACCATACTGTGTTGCAGAAGAAGATACTAAACCAGGCTGTGCGTGTGTTGGTGGTGCCATCATTCTAGCGTTGCCCTGTATTACAGGGCTATAAACATGAGGATGCTGCATTCAACAGAAATAAGAAAACAGACAGTTAATTGGAGGACCACTACAAAGAAACTAGTGCCATCTAAACAATAATTATATATTTAGAAACAGTAGTAGCTTGGCCTTACTAAAATGCAGAGCAAACTAAAGATTTCATACTATCACAATTATCCCAAGTGTTTCTAAAAATTTAAGGACATTTTCTGCAGTGGGCTAGAAACTGACAAAAACCATTGGCATATCTAATTTTTGCCACTCTAATGATGTAGTAAGCTTATATATGTAATTATATATATACATATTTATCCAATTACATATGTATATTTAAAAGCCTTTATATAAAAAAGTAAGAGGAGTACACCAAATAGTTTATTTTTAGAACACATCACTAGGAGATGTCCTGGCCATGACCTGAAAGGATTTGTTCAAAGAGCTAAAAAGGTAATTATCGCTAATAAGTGCCAGCTTCTAAACTGATCTTAAAATTTGTTGCAGGCTTTGAAGCACATTACAACATCACCAAGTATGCTCCAGAACACAGAAACTGCTCAGAGTGACCTCTCACGACTGGGAACAATAGGGTATTTCGGGCTGAACCACTTAATTATTTCTGGTTTTACTTCTCACATACACTAAAAGGACTCTTACCTGGGATTGGTAGTGTGGCACATGCTGCACAAGAGGCTGATTAGGAAACTGTTGGGGACTATATGCAACATATTGTGTTGAATAAGCAGGTGGCGTAGCTACAATTGGAGGGCCTGCTGCTGAGGCAGGATGCATCATGGTGCTCTGATGATGTTGGTCTTGCCGTTGCTGTGGCATATTTGGTACTAGAAAGCAAAAAGTGCCTCACATTAGAAACAGGACAAAGAGTGACAATCTTCCTGAAAGGTTTTACATTACAATGTCACTGTGACCAAGTGGAATATCCTCACCCCTCACCTTTAACCACATATTAGAGCTCTATCAAAAAGGAACAGCACGAAAAGGAGTTCCTCCAAGAAACATTTGATTTTCATCACTGCCTTTGAGCCATGTATACGGCCAGAAACCCAGGCCTGCTTTTTTTTGTGAAGGAAGGAAGAAAGGTGGAGGGAGAGAAAGACTGACAAGAATCAGTAATGGAAGAGAAAGGTTATATCAGGATACCTACATTAATCGAATTTGATCCTGTCCCCTTCAAAAGGCTTAATTCACCCTCTATGGGAACTACTCAGCAACTGTTCCATCAACTGGAAAGCTGAGTCTGTTAAAATTACTTGTGCTTATGGCTGAGGAGAGCAGAATAAAAGGTCTCCACACAGCCGCAATTTGAGGTATTCACATCTTTTAAGCTCTGTGCTACCCCTCAGGGTAGCAGAAAGCAACTTTTAGGTCACAGTCAACACTGAAGGGGACAAGTCAACCTATAAGAAGAAGAGGAGCAGGAATAAGAGGGAAGAAAGATTAAGAAAGCAGAGCATTGTAGTGTGGGACTACCTGAGCTATCCTGGTAAGACGACCAACCGAACCACAGCAGCAAGGCACTCAGAACAAACTAATTCAGCCTACTAAGCAACAGGGCATGAGAGTTCAAGTGAGCTCCAGCTTGCTGCAGTGAGACTGCAACTAGTAACTATGCTAACTCAAGCACCTGTAAACTCCACTGCAGTGTGCAATGTAGACAGACCCCTTAGAGAGAGGAAAGGAGGGAAATGTTGAAGATGTCAGTAAATTCACTCAGTGATGATTGTATTTACACTGCAAATCAACAATAGAAAAAAGTAAATACAGGACGCAACTTGAACAGCGTAAAGGCACTGAACTTTAACCCATGCAGCTCCTTCAGGACTATGCTGCACGCAGAATGGATATGCAGAAAATAATGAAACTTAAAAAAGCAATTCAGAATAGGAGAGCGGTCGCACACAGCGAGTGAGTACATAGCAATACATTTCTGATTAAAACAATCAGTGTTACCAATCAAAAGATTTCATGGGTCAGGCCACAGTAAAGTCAGTGTGTTTTAAAATAGAAATACATTCCAGGTTTTTGTCTTCCCTACATTCATAAAGGTTACTTGTTTATTTCTAAACAGCAGAACTGCTCTTTTAAACAATTTCCTCCTCTAGTGACTGGAGCTGCAGCACTGGAACCTATCATCATGAACCACTGTATAAAATTGCAAGAAAGCATGCACTGTGTAGAACTAGAGCATTATCTGAAACATGACTATAAAAACAAGACCATCATTTTTCTGCTCCTTCGCTACACTGCACAGAAGAGAGTGCATCTCACCACACATGTTCTCGTCTCCATAGCCACAGGTGTCACTTGTTAAAAACATGGTATTGTTAGTCCAGCTGTTCAGTTACTGTTGCAGAAGGAATGCAAAAGAACAAACTGGAACCAGCAGTAAGTTCTTTCCAGAAGAGTAGCATAGCATACTGTTTCTGAAGAAATAGCTATTTTGCTTGTTGACAAAAAAAATCTCTATTAAAGCACCATTCAAGGCTCTGCTGTAAACCAGTACAGAAAGTTCCCTTTAAACAAATCCGTAACGTTTATGAAATATAGGAGATGATCAGCTTACCCTAATGTTCCAAGTAACAGAGACCTTTTCCTGTTTGTCAAATCAAATTCCAAACCAAGCACCTCCCTGTTACTCAAACTTACAATGTTTTGGCTGAATTAGTTTATCTAGAAATGCGTTAGTATTTCCACTTACTTCCAGAAATAGCATTTAAAATATCAATCGAAAACAAATTAACATGGATTAGAAAATACACAAACATTTGTAATTTATTCATGCTGCATGCAGACTAAGAACCAAACAGGCAGTATTATTCTCACCTTTACCTGCTCTATATGTCTTGGCTTGGTTCACTGGCATGGGCGTCATGGGAATAGGATACAAAGGCTGAAACAGAAGGAGGAGTTGAAGCTATGATATTCCTTTAAAAACCAAGTGTGAGTCTGGGTGGGGGCCCCACTCAGCTTTGATGTGTTTTACTCCGTTATGTTACATGGCTTAGTGAACTCTGCCTAACCTATGATATTTTATCACTGTGATCGAGTCTGCATGTACAAACAACTAAGACCATATGGTCTGCAACAATCAGTCAAGTAATGATACTACTGCTACTTCAAGAAATGTACTAAATCAGACAGCTTTATAACAGGGTTAGATTTGAAATCCTAGTAATCCCTACAATGACTAGAAACTAGTGGGACACCGCCAGCAGCTAAGGACAAAGAAACAGTTGCTTAAAACTTAAGAAGAGTGAGACTATGCTTGGAGGACTGGGGACCTAAATCTGCACAGATTAACAATAAATATGAGTAAAAGCTGATGTGTTACAAGTGTTTGAGACTATCAGAACATCTAGGTTGAGGGATCACTGGGAAAAGTCAGTATTTACATAGCTAAAACTTAACAACAATGTAATTATGCCCACATTTACAAGAGTAATACAAGCTGTACCATTTCACTGTTTTAACTTAGATCTCCTAAGTCTCCTCAACTTGCTGACAATCATCTGAAAAGTGTTAACAAGTTTGCAGCATGTGCTGCACTTTACCTGCACGCCTGGACTCACTGGAACCGGGTACATCATATTTGGTGCAAAACAAACAGGCTGAGTGTACACTGGGGTTGGCTGCTGATGACCCACCATGGAGGGGCTAGGTTGAGCTTGCGGACGAGGGGAGGTTGGTGTAGTAGAAGGTTTCGGCTACAAAAAAAAAGTTCAGCAATGCATATGCAAGATTAGCTTGATTATCCTCCAAGTAAAAGGTTTGCTTATAAAGATTACTCAAAGGCAATGTTAAACAGTATCAAGTAACTTACTTGAGCAAAAGATCGAGGGTTGAACTCTTTTGCATTAGGATTAAGTGTTGATTTTCTAACTTGCCTAAACATAAAGAACAAAAAATGATGTTCAGCATTATTCTTTTACAAGCGTATGTGCAGAACTCCCTAACGATTAAAAATGTAAAGAGATGAAATACCTCATTTCCATCTGTGAGTCAGATTTGTGAGAACTCAAACAACACATGGCATGCAAAAAGCCACTCTTACTGACAGTACTCTTATTATACTTGTCCATAAAAAAAGTTTTCCTGCGGTTGATACTACAGCTCACATGAGCCAGGAAAACATTTAAATAAGCATTTAGATATGAATTAGACATCAACAGGACCAGAGTTCTATACGCAGCTCTGCCACTGACTCACGAGATGACTTTCAGTACAGTCACTTCACCTGTTGTTTTCTCTGTATAACAGAGAATACTTACATCGCCCATATAAACAGTAAGATATTACACATTCATAATAGCTTTTTCTACAAATGGCTAAATGCTAGTAACAGATGTGCTTATTCTAAAAGGCATAATTACTCACTCAGAAGTATCTTTCTTCTCCTCTTTATCCTCTTTATCTTGTTTACTTCCAGGCCCAGATGTCTGTACACCTTGTGAAGTTACCTCAGGCCCTCGCTTTTGCTCAGAACTATTACTTATTGAAGGAGAAATACTTGGACTATTAGGTTTGCTACTGCCACCATTAGAGTTAGTATTACTGCCAGTTTCTATGATAGATTCTTTAGGGGTTGATTCTGTCTTTTCTTTAACTACATCTCTTGATTTTTCACCTTCTCGGGTTTTGTTTAGCAGCTGATCCACTGCATCTGAAGAGGAACTCGACTGTAACTGAAAAAAACCCAAGGAATATATTCAGTAAATTGATATACAGAACTAGGGAGAGACAATCTAATGCTATCACATACACAGAGTAAAATACAGTCCCATAGGCCTCAATCATCTGGAAACGATCTTTTAAAACATACATCTCCATTTCTACTAGGAAAGAAATCTATGAACACTGACAATGTTTTAAGCCTACACTGTGAAAGAAGCTATTCAGAGACTCAACTGACCTATACGTTGATTAAGGAGTGACAGGAGAGCTTAAGAGAACCCTCTGGACTCATCCCCCTGTGTGATTTAACAGTAACACTTGAAAAGCTAACCTGATTTAATAAACCATTATAACCAGGAAATAAGTAATACAAATTCATCGTCAATTTTCCTCAGCAAAACCCTTTATTTAACTTTGAAAGAGCTCTTCCATATGGAGCATAAATGTGATAATTATTTGTACCTAACGATCAAACAGGTTTCAAGTGCTATTTTCAGCGTAGTCAATATGCACATTTACATGTATTAGGCAATTGTACCAGCAATAGTCAGCATTGATTTTATAATATCTAACATAAATTCTTATGGATATTTTCATAAATTAAGCACAAGTAGTAAGGACCTGTTTTCCTGTTAACGCATGCAATGTATTCAATTCATTAAAACAATCTGGATGCACATGAGAACTATGATACCATTAAGTTAACATACAGAGAAACTTACCCTAAAGTCATTCTTAAATTTCTTTAAATCATCAATCTGTTTTCTATGTTCTGAAACAATTGGAGATACACCTGCCAAATGGAAGACCAACATTGTCCAAGCATTTCTAATACAAGTTTTATATACAACCCTTACATTTCTAAATTTGCAAAAACGTAATGTTTACATATCTAAAAATGAAATACAGTGATATAATTTCATCTGTAATTTAGTATAATTCCATGAACTATGTGTATGAGCACACAAAAATACTCTGCGAAACCACAGCATTATATAACTGACGTATCTATAGTTCTAACCCATCACACCAAGACAGAAGCCCTCAGGTGCAGGGACTGCAGAACTCAGCTGAACGCAAAGAAGCATCCAATAAAACTCTCAGAACATAAAATGCCAGCGTTTCACGACACAGCAATTAAAGGTGAAACACTGATCAAATTCAACAACATTAAAAGATTTTTTTGAGAACTGTATGAACAAGCAATGCTGCAAAGAAAGCCAAGTTTAAGGCACAATAGGAAGAAGTACAGTTATAAAAAACTATGCTGACCATGATGCTCAGAAGTATTGTGAGCATAGCTCTAAGCGGAAACACTCATTCAGTCCAGAGAGCGCCAAAAAAAGTTTTGTGAGCAGGAAAAAAAAAAAGAAGAAAAAAAAAAAGGGGGGGGGGAGGGGAGGGGAGAAAAGAAAAAAGAAAAAAACAAGTAAAAAGAAATCACACCATCCACATGAGCATCTCTACACCTCGTGTTGATGAAATGAGTCAAGAACAACATTTAAAATTGTAGGCGTGCCACTTCACAACTGCATGACCAAATTTTCGCTGTAGAACTCCCAAGCCAGATTGCCTCCAAGTCTTCCTTAAAATGCTAACTAAAGCAGTCAATATAGCAGGTTTAGTGCTTGCAATTCCTACATTACTCAAGTATATATGAAAGCTTTTGATACAAACCTTTGTTTTCAGGTTTAGGAAAACTAGGTGAAGTCTCACTTGGCTTTATATTCTCCTTGTTTCCAGTTGCAGAATTTTGCCTCTGGTCCTGAAGCCTAGTATCTTTAGCTAGAAAAGAAATTGCCAAAGTTATTCTCTTATACACAACTCAAACTGACCAAAAAGAGAGATGGCAAGATAGAAACAGAAGAGAGATTTAACCATGTTTAGCTTACAAAAGAAAAAGCCTAAGTTACACATTTTCGGCTACCTAGTTAGGGCCTGGAGGGTTATCCTCCCCCCTACCCCACCCTACTGTCTTTAAGCCAAATGAAAGATTCCCAGTCAAACACATCCCTCTCATCATACGCAGAACCTTAACTAGGCTGAAAAAACTATAAACTGAGAGCAAATTATTTTCACTAGTCCAAGCTCTTCATACAGAATACTACAAAGATTTGAGAGTTCTTAGACATTTGACTGTGCTCTGGAATGGGGTTTTTTTCCCCTTCCTTTCACTATGCTCAAAATATTCTTTGAAACCAGTGGCCTACGTTTCTTTAAATTAGAAAACAGCCAGGAACTCAGAAAAAAAAAAAATTCTCAACCACGTCAAACACCTATAAGCCCATACTCCTTAAAGGGCAGGAGAAATTAAGCATACAGACTTATCAAAAAGCCTCTCTCCAACCTTAGTTTAAAGCTAGCATCACGAGAAAAGGGGAACTCACTACACAGTAAAATTAAATGCATCAGAAGTTTTCCCATCATTTAGAAAGCAGCTTTGCTCTTGTATAGGCTTATTCATTGTCAGGGATTAGGGAAAGGTAGCATTTGCAAGCTAGCGAGGGTAACTTACCTTCGCTGGAAGGGGTAACTGCTCTGTTGGATGCAGGGCTGGCAGGGGTAGGAGAGGCAGCTGGAACAGGCATGGCAACAGATTCAGTGGGAATAGTACCAGGCTGAGGAGAAGGCAGAGCTGGTCCCGTGGGAGTGCTGCTCTGCCTTGGAGACCTAGGCCTGTGTGTTTTAGGGGATAATCTCGGAACTAGAAACAAACAGGAAAAAATAGTTATAGGGTAAGTTTCCCCATCTGCTCAGCAGTTTGCTTATTTTTAAAATGACTAAAAACATGCTTTAACTTAGTGGAACATTATATAGTAATTGAAAACCTGTTTACCTTTCAGGTACATCTCCTAGTTCTTTACAACGCAGCATTTCAGATAAGTAGCGCGATTTTTCTGCAGATTGTCCCCTAATATATATCACTGCCCTGTAGTCCCCACCGTGAAACTGCAATATGCTCCCCAGCCCCCAGCAGTACAACTACAACAGCTCACATTAACACAGTTTCAGGCAGAACAGAAAAGGTGGTCAGGTCTCCATACAAACAGATGTAAAACATTTTTAAAAGGGCTGAAAAAACACATCCATTTTACAGCGTCCTCTTTTGGAGGCTTGCCAGCTGGAAAAAAAACAACATATCCTATTGAAAGAAGATTATTTGATGCATATTTTTGCCCCTGTGTTAAAGCAGCAAGGAAAGTTGTATATTCTTTAAACAGTAAGTTGTACCTCCTGCTTCCTGCTCATCCCACTGTGGCTAGTTAGTTGCTTTACATCACATATTAACTTCAAGTGAGCGAGGAGAAAAAGAGATAAGTCGTTTAACAGTCCTACTTGCATGTTAATAATATACAAAGTGGGGGGCTGGGGAGGAAAGATGAATCGGAGATAATGCCAGAACAGAAGAGTTTAAATCTTTTCCACAAGGCAACAGGTCTATGGGCGTCTAATTCATACCTTCTTTCTGAAAAATGCCTTCCCACTACACACCTCCAGAATTCCAGCACTGCTAAAAAGTATCAGACTCCAAACTGTCACTCACTTGCCCTTCGATTCAAGAAAGCGGCCAGCTGCTGACAACTCACTAGAACACAGCCTCAACTACAAAAGCTCGAGACTAGGGCCTGTGTCACAAGACTGACTGAGCTTTAAATTTGAAGTCAAATATAAAGATGTTAACTGATTCAAAAAAGAAGAGACACTGACTATATCTGCTACTACACTACTCAGACAAACACAAAATGACCACTTAAAACCATGCATAATTTTTAAAGGAAAAATACATACAACTTGAGTATCATTTCATCTTCTAACACCAACCTTCCTCTATCCAAACATCTCCTTCATTTGTAAACCACAGCCCAGTTTTACACTGCCATTAACCAAATTCAATGATGCAATGGAACATACATAAATTTTCTTCTTTTCAATAACTTTCCTGAAAATTATTTCTTTCAACAACTAATTCCCACATTTTTCCTTCCTTTCTCTTCATACACCATTTGACCCAACCTGTCTGCAAGTTAAGACAATATCACACTTGAAGGACCAACTCACCAACTGTTTTACCAAGCTATCTGAGAACATCCTTCTCCCGCTTCATCTAAGCAAGCTAAGTTAGCAGACCAGTGTTTATTCAGAGCCTGAATTGTCTAAAAATGCAGTATTCTGCTTAGCATTCACACTCTAAAGTACCCCTGGCAAGCCATCTGCAATAAGCCAAGCTTTACCTACCCCCACTGACAACTGATGACCACGTCCCACCTGAAGGGCTGCCTCGTGCCACTGCAGTAGTAGATGCTTCCCCTGGTGCATTATGAGATACAAATTCTAAGCCACTTGAAATTGTACCCCTACCAGTAGAGACTCTGTGACCTCGAGGGTGCCGTTGTGCCTTAGGAGACATCCGTGGAGGCCCTGAGAAAAAGAAGACAACCCCACACAATAAGTACTTAATGTACTTAAGAGTACCCAAACATACTATCTGTTTTTAAAACTGGATTTAATCTAGTAACTCTTAATAATGCAGTAATACAGTCAAGCAATTTACACTGACATCGACTAGAACCAGGGATCCACGAGACTAAAAAGGCCAAGCCATTGGTCCAGCCAGACTACCAACACGCTCATCACCTTGCTATGACAGCTCACATTCATTGATATTTAGAAGCTTTATCAGAATTGAAACAGGTATGCAAGTCCTGGATTTAAAATATCTGAATCCAAGTATCCAATATTGCTTACTGCAAGACAAGCCAAAAAGGTTAGCGGCCCAGCTCCCTCTGGATAAGCACAGTTCCAGGCTATCAAACATTTTCCAGAAAAGAAAAAATTTCCATTGCTTTTGTCAGGTGGTCAGTGATACCAAACATTTATTTACAGAGTAGTCACCAGTGGCTGACCAATGCTCTTGGGAAATTTCAGCAGAGCATTCTGCACTGAGGCTAAATTGTCTGCAGCAGGTCACAATTCATTTACAAGTCAGCAAAATTGCAACTAAACAAGTTATTGTTATCCCAAGGTTCAAGTCATGCATGTTTAACGCCAGAAGCTAAAGTCGTAAGTGAATACAGCAATTCTGAACAGCTTATACAGCTGCCACAGAATAGTTATGCTCAAGTCTAAGCAGCAATACAGTTTCTACATTCTAACAAACATTTTCTTTACAAGATCAGACTCAAATGTTGATAAGGAAAGGAAAAACTGTGTATGAGCAGAAGATAATCTGGTTGATTACAGTTCATTTTTTATGTAGGTCAGTAATAGAGAAAAGTTCAGATAATGGCTTTCTGGTTTCAGGTAAGGTTCTAAAATATCAGGTACCTCTTCTGGTTACATAAATCTTTAAATGCCAGCCTCTATTTTAACCATGAATCTAAAGTACACTTCTATCCAAATTATATACAGGCAAGTATTTTAAAGAATACACACTTTCCAGCAATCCTCTTCTAGTAGCAGAAATTAAAAATTGCAGTAAGCAGCAGTTCACTGCATGCGTGACAAATCAACTGCAAGTGCTAAAAAATAACTGAATTTGCACATGGATTCTCAGTATCTTACTACGTAAAAAAAGCTCACTGATAAATTGACAGTAGCATGCCATACAGACATGCCTACTACCATCCACTCCCTGGTTATGGACCATCTTGAGCATTTATCAGGCAAGCTGCAGAACAGTATTACTGATTCAATTAGCGGGACGACTGTTCTCTCTCCTGTGGCTCCAGTGGAGCCAGCTACAGCAGAGACTGCAAGTTTCCAGTGAGTTTAGTATAACCGGTTTGCATTTTTCTAGGCTTGCTAGACTGTGCTGTGCAGGCTAGTTTTTAAGTGCACTTAAATAAAATAAAATAAAAATTTAAAAATGTATTCCTTACCGTACCCTCAGAGGACAAATAAATTTAGTTCAGATACTTCTGCATGCAGTTACCGAAAACTCATGGGTTAGCCCTTCTCTGCATATTATTGACTGCCAGGGAGCTGACTTACTGTTCTGCCTCAATGCAAACAGATCTAAAGTTTTCTACAGAATTGCCTTTGAAGCAGCTTATCCTATCCCATTCCACAGGGCACTTCTCTGAATACAGCGGTTTTTTT